ACTATGAAAAACAATTTTACAACTATGCAAACAATACCTGTAATCACTTCTGCATGGATTATCTGCAGGTATGATATTGTTGGTTACATGCATTTTAAATTAACTACTCCATAGTTCTTTTGTAATTCACAACTGTAATATTACAGAAGAATTGTTCTTACATGACCCACCATATTTATTTTGACGACATTTTTATGCAGTCCTATTCAAACAAAGTCACAATTTGCCAACGATCGATTCAAAATTACTTCCATGTTGAAGCTTGCAAGTCTTTCAAACTTACTTACCAAAAGTTAACTAGGACCAAATTCACGCGACGCATTTAATCACCGAGATATTCAGCAGACTAACCACGTACGCCTGTCAATATTGACAAACCTGATTTCTAGAGCATTGCAACTCGTTCGGCTTAGCTCCAAGTTTAATGAAAGGAAATAGTTGCAGTGGTAACAGACTTAAGTGTGTTTATAGAATAATTTATTTAAAATATTTTGCATTTTGCAGGTTGTGTGGCACCAGACTACAGAAATTGGGTGTTCATTGAGGAAATGCGAAGAGCGATATTTTGTTATATGTCGATATAGACCCGCGTGAGTATCTAAATTTATCAACCTTGTAACCAGACTAACATATACTTAAATTTTTATGCATTACTCGAAAAAGGTTTAATTTTATTTCGTGCAAAGAGCGAAACCCTTAATCGAAAAACCCTATGAAGAGGGTCCTAGTTGCAGTAAATGTCCTCAAGGATATGAATGTCACCGCAATCAATGTGACGCCAACTCAGTGTCGGTCGACAATTCGTATTACTCCGCAACTCAAAGCAATGCTGCAACTTCAGTTTATGCGTCATCTAGAGAAGCCCACGTCTCGTCTTCAGCTCTAACAATGCATTTTCTGATTTTGATCTTTCTGTTGGCAATGGTTTTAATCTTTTACTCAAAATAAAATGGATTTATTGCAACATTTCTAGCTAATATCTTAGTTTACGCATCAGCCGTTCCAAATACTATAATCGTAGAAAGGAAAACGGTGGGTTGTGCATTGCTGAGAAGACATTTGTTTCCAAGGATCATACGTCGCAGTCCAAGTAAATTAAAAATAGAAAAATGTACTTTTTTTGAAAAATGCGTTTTCGAAATAAACGAATGTCGTAACTTCCAATGAGGCCTAAGGAATATTCCAAAAGCATAACTCCTTGATCGAACAACTACTTTTAAGGCCATTGGCTACGGATCGAAGGCCACAACATATTTTAATAGTCGTTTATACCATGTTAAATTCATTTGCTCGCAACGATAATATGCTTTGCTTGACCGAATGCCTTATTTATATCAGAATCAGTATAATACTACTTTACTGTGGGGCTTGCTCAAATGTGAGAATGATGGATACAGATTTATCATATTGAGACTTCAAATGTGGTGGAATCATCAGTCCTTCTAACTAACGTACTCACACTATTCCCTACTAAAGCCAAACCAATCTTGTTTAGGATTTTGATTTTTCAACAAACAAATTACTACTTAAGGAAAGTTGTCGGTGTGGTGGTTCAACAGCAATTCAGTATACTAGCTACTTCACTTTCACTATTCTTAAATATAATTAAATAATAAATCATTGCACATAACTTGGCTATATTGTATAACTACAAAGTACATGCATACTGCGATTGGTTGATTTAAAGCAGCAGATTAAATTTACAAAAGAATATTCTACCGATTCTGTTGTCTTTTAAAAGAATTTTATTGTAATGAATCAGCGATCACTCTATTGTCAATAATTGTCTGATTTCAGATCAAATAACAACAAATAACAACATTTCAAATAACAACATTTTGCTTTTAGTGCATATCTGTTCAAGGACAATATTAAAATATTAAAACAATATTGTCACTCAAATTAATTGATAAATGTTTTAGTAATTAAGCTATTTTCGACATAAACAGCACAATAATCAACAGGATCTTGAGTGAGATGGGACTTGTGGAAGCCGAAGTTAAAGTGTTTGCCTGAATAGGGACAGGTTGAATAGGCATTTTGAGGTCGTTTTCAGATTCAGCAACCAGGGCATCAGTGATTGGCTGTGATTCTGCGTCGCACTGATTACGGAAGCATCCGTATCCCTCAGGACATTTACTGCAACTCCGACCCTTTTCATACGGCCTTCCCAGGTGCACATCACTACTTGGGAAACAAACCAAGAGTTATAAATCAACACTGACATCGATCCTCCTAGACAACTAGCAGGTAAAATAAGTAACTGGAGTAGATAAAACATAGCTTACCCAGGTCTGTACAGACACATTATGTTATATTCATCGCTGCATTTTGCAATTGAACAAGCAAATTCAGTAGTTGTCGCCCACACCATCTTTAAAAGACAAACGAATTAAGTGTTTTAAAGACATTTTGTTCAAATGGAACTACTGAACTCATATAATATCGTAACCAATTCTTAATAATGTGTTCCAATTGAAGAGCCACTTCTGTCAAAACCAATTTTCCAAGTGAATAAGAATTACCTATGATGTCAAGATCTAATTTTAAGTCTTATGGAAATGTTTATGGGGCTATTGTTTCTACAATGATTTCTGTTTTTGTATTATGCTTCTATTCACTTCAAATGCTTCTAAAATAAACCTTTAAATCCCATCACGGTTTTAAAATTCAAACAAAATACAGTGAGGCGTTCATGAAAGAATTGGTTTTCGTAAAACATTTTGCTGTTCATTAGGAAAAATCTAGCTTCAGAAGGCACCAACCTGTTTGAATCCATCGCATTTGTGTTCACATGTGTTGTTCTCATAGTTATAGAAATTCTTCTGGTAGGCAATGTAATGGAATATTTTGTCGTATGTGGATTTATATGTACCCATAGATGTAAGAAGAACGCCTGTGTTTCGATATTGTTTAAATGAGTATATATCTGGCTTTTTTGGTGTGCAGTAGGACAACCACACATCCGCCAATTTTTCCAATTCTAGCGAGTAGCGCTGGAATAAAGAAATAACAACTCATTTTTTTCATAAAATCGTCATAAGCGAAAGCGGCTGGTTAACATTGGCAAAAATTTTGTATTGATTCATCGGATATGTGCCAAAATATATTACTTCAATAAACGAAGGGTTTACCCACTTTTACTGCATAAATTTGCAAAATATTCTAGGATTCAAAATAAAACAGAATCTTAGCGGTAACATTTTTTGTAATAGACGTGATAGCCCAGGGCTACTTGATCTGAACACTTCAGTGCCTTATCTTGACCTTTAGTTTCCACTGACTAATTCATTTCAGTTACTCACCATGAGAAGCATATTGCTGGCAGTTGGTTGAACATTTTCCCGCAGTTTTCGATGATATTCCAATATTACATCTCGTTCATGCTGCGTTGGAACTTGAGCCATACCGAGCCATATCAAGACTTGAAAATACAAAAGACTTTGCAACGCCTGAAATTAGAATGTGAAAGAGTGGTTAAATTAATCCTTACTTTTAACATCCTATTTTCTGAATGGTTTTGTGAGTACGTAGAAGCCAATAGTCCTTGCTCAAACATGAAATTTATATCTCTCTGGGCACCAATTGCTGAAGTTCTCACGAGATCACATGACAATCTAGCCCCACAAACCACTCTACCTTGATTTTTGTCATTTTGCACTGGATATTTGTCAGAAATCATTCAAACGTTATAAAATCTGGGTTATTCAGCCCATGATTGCCCTATTTTCCGACGTTTGACCAATAACTGTAAAGATAAATCAGCCAACTAATGTCAGACGCGAAAAAATAGGAATCCATTTCCTGAAACGATGCTTTCACAGAAACAAATATAAACGCTTTTGTCGGCCTTTATTAAACTTTGTCACATTGGCCCTCACGATATGTTTCGGAACCAACACATGCCGACAAAGTGAATAAGTCAGTGGGATTATGAACTAGCTTACCTTTTTTTCAGTTACTGGATATTCATAAGGTGTTAGTTAAGTGTTGAACATTATACTGTGCGCAGAGTCGGAAACTAGCATTAGTAACGTGGTAAGGAAACGGTAAAAATCAAGTACCGTTTAACGGACAATAACAGCAATACAACGTATAACTCTACTGTGACATTATTTTTGGACTATGATTTTAAAGAAATGGTTTGCACTGGTTTAGACACAGAAATAATTTGCTTCTATTCCAATCAGCTGCAGCGACTGAATGGCGTTGTCTAAAATTAAATTCAAGGTCACTCTGTTTTTGAAGTTTTGTGCATTCGGGTATGAAAAGGCAGATCATAAATTGATGTTAGTGAAACTGAGTTTTGCAGAGTAAAAAAAGATTTTTCTAAACTATTTTCTTCCTCTGACCTAACTAAATTTGGGAGATTTATTGCAAATAAAAAGTATAACCATCTTGGCAGGCTGGCAGCAAGAACGTACGCCGTTATAGGTCGATATGTTGTTTCAGTAGCCAAAAACAAATTTATTTTTCACAATTTTTGCAAAACGTCATGTCTTACTATTCATTTTATTGCTTCATCTCTACGTTCCGTGGTTTAATAGGTGGAATACTTGTCTGTTCAAGCATTTTGAGCCAAATGATCACCAATTCAGTAGCTTGATGAAAAAATACTAGCTAGCGCTCTCTGAATATAGAGGCTTTCATGTTTCCTACCATTTAGGCCACCAATAAGGGTATTGCGCTTAATTAATTATTTGGAAAAAAAGGCATTTATTAAAAGTGATTTTGTTACAACAATTCATTTTGTTGCATTTATTAACGGTCCTCACTTTGTATTTAAACATCTCACTCCGTACCATGGCGTTGGGTGCCCTAAAATTTAGCCTGTTTCTTAACATTAGGTATCTCTTTTGATTTGACGTTGACATTGCTAAAGCAAATCATTCATTTTTAAGGATTTTAGATTGTGCTGACCTGTGCGCATGACCTCCATCCAAGCACAACGACCCTTTGCGTACTGTCTAGCTGGGTTAGCTAACTGTGACTACGAGCCAGTCAACCGTTCATGAACATGAAAACTGGTATTTTGCCCTTGAAGTCACCCTAACTAAGCCTCTTAAGCAGATAAATTGCGTTTTTTTTTCCTAGCTGCTACGAATGCCCGTAACCAAGAGAAATCCACTCAGAAAACGGTATCAGATCCTCTGTTGACTTGAACCAACCACACCACGCTAATACATGACGATACCAGAGATCGTACAGAGGGCTTTAATCGCCTCAGCCAATGTGCGCGTGATCTGTCAGAATGCCAACAGACATATAAGTCAAGGTTGACCTTGACCTGATGTATGAAAGCGGATTAACATAGATGTGCTTGTCAGTAGAATGCCGTGGGTGGCTCACCCACTGATGTGGCGTGGTTAGGGGAGTAGTGCAAAAAAACGACGAAAACCGGCCATGAGCCAAATTGGGGGAACCCTGGATCCCCAACAATAGCAGTTTGTTTTGGAAATTGGCATTTTTTGAAACACAGAAAGAAGTTAGACTTGCCTCCACGTTGTACTTACTCCAAACTCTGTTGCTGTTTAAAGATAATAGAACTGCTGGACCGAGGTTTATCCCTGCTCTCTATTTCGAAGCACAATTTCGGTTGCATCGCCGTCTTGTTTACACACAATTATTGCCGTTAAAAGTGTTGTTTTTTATGTAAAAATATGCAACCCTAACGTGCAAAATGGTGTTAAAGTCTGCAAACAGATTGTCAAATGCAGGTTCAAATAACAGGTGTCTGCAAAACCACTGTATCTTTACATAATTTTGAAACAAAAGACTACCTTGAAACGACAAAGACTTGTGCGTATCATAATCTCTTTTTAATTTGGTGTCACGAGTTTACATTGACACACAAAAATACTAATTTTTTATTAGTAATACACTGTTATAAGAAGCAGACAACTTTTTGTAAAAAGCAGCGGTCATATCCGTTTGCACAACGTGACATT